TCTATGATTCTATGATTCTATGATTCTATGATTCTATGATTCTAAAACGACAATATTTAGCTGTTGATAAAAGAGAGCCAGTGTGGTGTAATGGTTTGAGTGCTGGACTAGGACTCCAGGAGATCAGAGTTCAAATCTCTACTCAGCCATGGAAACTCCCTGGATGAGGTCACACACTCTCAGGTTTAGCAGAGCTCCTCTGCTGAATAAGCATGGCCAAGAAAACCTCATAATAGATTCAACTTAGGGTTGCCATAAGTTGGAAATGACTTAAAGGGACACACAACAACAAGAAGAAAGTTCATTTAGGGCCTTTGCAGACTGCCAGAAATAGTGCAAATTAAGTCCACTTTAACTGCCCTGGCTCAGTGCTAGGGAATCATGGGAACTGTATTTTTTTCTGGGACATTGAGCCTTCTCTATCAGAGAACTCTGGTGCCACAATAAACTACAGTTCCCATGATTCCCTAGCACATAGTCAGGGCTGTTAAAGTGGACTCAATTTGCACTATTTCTGGCAGTCTGCAAAGGCCCTTAGTTGACTACTGTATGCAGGTTTTCCTTTTTTCCCCTGTGTTCCGCTGATAGTGAAAATACATGGTGGGAGGATATGGGAGAAGGCACTCTTTACAGTGGTATACAAGTTGTGGGTTGGCATCCCCTTAGAGGCCCAATTGGTGCCAATATTGGTGTCATTCAATGCTAAGTCAAAATGTGGCCTTTTATTAAAACCTTTGTTCCTTATCCAGGCTATGCATTTGTTCCTTATCCAGGCTATGCATTTATAGTTGCCCCTCCGTTTTTTCAGGGGATCCGTTCTGGACTCTCCCCCCTGTGAAAATGGAAACTCACCAATATTCAAACCCCATTGGCTTGTATGGCAGCGTGTGCCTGTGGGCGCGTGCCTCATTCTGTGCCACTCCATTTCCAGCCCGCAGATAGGCGTGGGACGCAGATTTGAAGCCCGCGAAAATGGAGGGCCGACTGTACTATGGTTGCACTATTTTGAAATTGCCTTAACCAGTTTTATCTTTTCCGGTTTTTAATTAATAAATGATTCAATATATTTTAAAGTCTTTAAAATTTATTGTTATTATTAAGTTGAGTCTCCCTTATTTGGAATTCTGAAATCTGAAATACTCCATGTGAAGGTGACCCTCAGTCACTTTACTGCTTTTCTCAGATGGCAGCACAATGGGTTTTGTTATCCCACCACTGCCACCAATTTGTGATAGGGACTTAGGGCCTTTGCAGACTGCCAGAAATAGTGCAAATGGAGTCCACTTTAAGGGTTAGGGTTAGTGCTAGGGAATCATAGGAATTGGTTTGGTTTTTTTCTGAGACATTGAGCCTTCTCTGTCAGAGAGCTCTGGTGCCACAATAAAATACAGTTCCCATGATTCCCTAACCCTAACCCTAACCCTAAAAGTGGACTCAATTTGCACTATTTCTAGCAGTCTACAAAGGCCCTTAGTTTCCTCCAAACTACTCAAGGGGACTTAATAATAAAATACTTTCTTCACTGTTGGTAGCGTGTAACTGTATCTTTAAAAGCACTTCACACGGCCATGTATTGAAACAACGTTATATGTTTATTTGCAGTTTAATTTAAATGTTGTTCACAGTTGATACATTATTGCCACACTTTATTTGTTACACTCTGTTACTGTGGTTTCTTGTTTTTGTACTTATTTGTTATAGTAATCCAAACTTGTTCAAATTCTCAATTATACTCTTGTTTATTTTACTTTTAGTAACTGAATGTACTTTCCATTTCACTGACTAATGTTCTCCTCAGAGAATAACACTTCACTTTCCCCAGGAGACTCCTAGTCCTCTCGTGGGTACTAGTAAAACCTGTAAACTGCTTTCCTCTGCAGTATAAACTAACCCCTAAGCTTCTTCATACCCCTCAGGGTGTACCACAACAGCAACTCTGACTTTGAGTTCTGTTCCTAGGTAAAGGTATTCCCCGTTGACAAGGTTGTCAAGTCATGTCTGACCATAGGGGATGGCGCTCATCTCCATTTCTAAGCCGAAAAGCCCGCATTATCAGAGACTACTCTGTGATCATGTGGCCAGCATGACTGCACAGAACGCTGTTTACCTTCCTACCAAAGTGGTACCTATTCATCTACTTGCGTTTGCATGCTTTCGAACTGCTAGGTTGGCATTTTTTTCATAGCTGCCCTTCTAATTCCTAGTTTTCTAATTGCAATTCCCAACATTCTTTGCCACTGGCGATTCTGCTGGGACTTGAAGTCCAACCAGATCTGGACTTAATGTTTGTAGGGACTGCACACCTAAGAGACTACACACATTGCTATGGTCCTCTCAAAACGTTAAGATCTTCAGGAGACAGTCTCTTGAAGATATCTTCACCTGAGAAATTCCACTTGACGGCTACATGGAAGAGACCTTTCTTTTGCATTGCCCCCATGGTGGTGCCTATTTATCTACTTGCATTTGCATGCTTTTGAACTGCTAGGTTGGCAGAAGCTGGGACTAGTGAAGGGAGCACCTGGGCCGCGAACTGCCAACCTGCTGATCTTGCCATCAACAGAGTCAACCTCTAAACCACTTGAACCACCATGTCTCCAACCAAGTCCCTAACCAACTAATCCACTCTCCCCTGCTCTATTTATATCCATTCCTAGCTCTACTCTCATTGGCTAACGCTTTCCCCATCCTGATTGGATATTGCCAGGGCTTCTCTCAGCCTACTTAAATCTGCTTTAACTCTACATCCAGAATTCAAAATTGTCCACATGGGTGGCTGAAATAGCAACACCTTTGCCTTCTGATGGTTCAGTGGACACAAACTTTGTGCACAAAATTATTACAAATACTGTGTATAAAATTTGTTTCAAGCTGTGTGTGTAACGTGTATGAAACATAAATGATTTTTTTGTTTAGACTTGGGTCCCATCTCCAAGATATCTCTTTATGTACATAAATGCAAATTCCAGATTCCAAAATCTGGTCCTAAGCATTTTGGATAAGGGATACTCAACCTGTTTTGACTGTTTTCAGTTGATTTTATTGTAAGTCTCTCTGAGATCTATAGCTATAGGATGGGATATGAATGTTTTAATAAATAACAAATAAATAGTGTTCCAATGTGAAGTCGTAG